TTTATAACTCTCTTTCCGACCTATACCTCAACAGTTCCAAATGTTCCGAGTGCATGTTTACTCTTTCTCCATCTTCTTATCCCAATGAATAATCAATCCTTAACTTTGTACCCATTTCCATAGCCGACTTGATCAAGTACGAAGGTGTTACTATAAACACTAATCTACTGTGGTCTTCTCATTTTCCAGGCAGTGTAAAGAAATTGTGTCGATTCCCTATTCAAATCCGCAGACTAAGGCAGTTTGATGTCAAACAAGCTCTCGTAATTTCCTTTGTCCACCAATGCATCCTGCCGACTCAACTTTACTGCTCTTCCGTAATCTTTCTTGGCCTACTTAAAAGGGATTTTAATTCATTACGGCGCGGTTTAACTCCCGTCAGACGTGTTCCTTTGATTCCTATAGCCTCTCTCATCAATAAAATATGTGGTCTACACAATTTCAGCTGTGGAAAATCCGCCTTAAAGATTTGTGTAGACCCTTCTCATCCTCTTTGCCATGACCTTTATGTTTGGCTCTCACATTCTTCTACAGGTTCCGAGTTTAGACTCATCCCGTCCCGTATAGGTGTTTATCTCAACTCTACAGTGCCTTATTCAGCACGTGTTCTTGTTGGCGAAGTGAATGTCACGGAGAAACTCGGCATCAGCCTCGGTGGCTGAACCTAATTCCAGTTTTGTACTTTTTCTGTCCCTTTTATTAAGGTGTTTCTGGATTGACAGCTACCGTTTTCGCTCCTTTCCGTGGTTGAAGTATGGGTTGTTAGCTTACAGAAGTCCTCTGCACAATACAACACAATACGATGAAGGCAGTTGTTCGGAGTTTTACCTACTGGCTATTTATGGGACGGAAAATTGAATATGTGGTAAAATCTTGTCACAAGTGTTCTAGGGCCGCTGAACTACCACCTAAGAGTGAACCCCGAATATGGCAACCCCCAACGGTCCCCTGGTCCAGCGTTCATATTGATTTCACTGAGCCCGTTGAAAACATCTATTGCCCAAGCACTGTCCATGCATACAATGAGCGGCCCAAAGTTATTCCCATGCGCGCTACAACCGAAACCTTTGCAATTAAAAACTTGAGTAGAATATTTGCTCAGTTCGGTATACCAAAAGTGTTCGTCTCAGATAATGGTCAGAAATTAACATTTTCATGGTATCTAGTGTTCTGAGCTTCAAAAGACGTTCACCACGTGTGCTTTTTAGGGTATCACCGACAATCAAACGGTCAAGTTAGACGGTTCCTGACACGTTGAAGCATTTACTGATTAAGTCACAAGAGAAAATAAACGACTCAGCGGAGTGCTCTCCTGATTTCATACCTATAAATGGAAGTTGGCGGGGCTTTTGAGTACGGCCGCGCCGTTAGACCACTTTCGGAATTTATCACAAAATTATCCACACATTCGCCGGCTTACTTTTCTGTCTTTTGACCTTGATTGCAAATATTCATTTTACTAATAAAGTAATGCCACCCACGGTATATATTGCAATAAAATGTTGAAATCCATCAAAGCAAGAACTTTACCTGACCGATTGGTTCCTTTAGGAAATAATGGCAAGAAACAAATGGAGAAGAATTTTCAAGAAGTCCAGAGGTGGTTCTAGAAAACACAAAGTTGATTCGTCGGTTGCCTCTCGTAGAAGACCCACACACTACATGAGCCTTCCCGTGACGAAAAGCAGCAGCACTCTTTCCCTATCGAGTAACTTTTGGTGTTGTCAGACCTTGTTTGGTCATATGAATACTCTCAGCTCTGTGCAATCTTGCTACAAGAGACGTGGCTTCAAAGTGACATTGACGATGAAATAGTTGAGCTAAGTGGTTTCAATGGGTATTGTGTGGATCGTCCTGCGTCACAACGGAGACGAGGTGGTGGTGCTACCACTTATCGATAATCACTGGTGCTAGAACTTCAAGCTCTTTTTTATGTATTCAACCGATCCTCCGTTACTGAATACAAACTTAAACGTTTCGGTAAATTTCGATCTGTTGCGCTTGTAAGTAATTGTATTTCATCCAAATGTTCTGCCGATGGCTACCAAGAATCTAATAATTACATTTCGCAAATCCTAGTGGAATACGCAGCCATTTATTCGTCCATAGATGCTGATGATTTGAATCGTTTTAATGCCTACTCTTTTTATCCTTTTGGTCTTGTCAACACTGTCAATTTTCCAACTAGAAAGGATGCTTTCCTAAGCACTTCATTGGTCAACAGTCTAAATATTTTTTTCAACTTCATGTCCTTCATCTCTTGGGTCATCCACTCACGTAATTTCCAAAGTTTGGCGTAAGATTTATAGCTGTAACAACCGGCAACATTTCACGCAATGAGGCGACCGCAAAGTTCATGAAAGGCAGACTTTTCTCAGGGCATGTTCATGTTAAATGAAATGGTTAGTCAAACAGCCTCTTCTGTACTCTAAGCCGCTGATATCTCTATGCCTTGAGATCATCTTACCCGTTACCTTAATTGTTGTTTTAACCTTTGCTGTCGCTCTGAGATTCTTTACATTCGCCTCAACCGTTTCTCATCCGCTCGTCTCAGACGACTTTGTCGCCGAAAACTATATACTTTTAAACGCAGGGATTACACAAAGTTCAAGAGCTTGACGAAATCAGTTAAGACTGAGCTGTCCAGACCGAATTACGTATATACACGTAACCCATTGGAATAGAAAATCCATAAAGAGACATATTAGCTATTAAAAGATTTATGTAGAGGCTCATCCGTACGCAAGTCTTCTGTTGTGGATATCAAAGCTCTCAATCTACCGTTCAATAAGGAATTTGGGTCTCCCATTTCCATTTTCTGCTGAAGATGACTCTTTAAACGTGCCTCCTTTCTGTATTTCCATCCCTGATGTTTACAAAGGACTGATCTTTCCAAATTCTAGGATATCCTCTGAATCAGATGACCTCATCTCTAGAGTCCTCAAGCAGTGTGCTGCCACTCTCTCCCCTATTTTCTCCGAACTGTTTAATCAGTGAATGAACGACAGAAAAATTCCCCACTGCTGGAGGTTGGTGGCCATCACCTCTGTCCCTAAGAAAGATTCTTCTAAATTTCGTCCCATTGCTAGCACTTCAGTAGCTTTGAAGGTTTTTGAAAAGTTGGTTCTCCCACAAGTGAGATCTTCCTTGAGTGTTTCAACCCCCCACAAGTTTGCTTATCGATCTTTAGGATCTATTCTTGATGCTCTTGCCACCCTGGTACGTTTCCTTCTCTCGTCATTTGACAGAGAGTGAAGCAGTTAGGATTTGCTTCCTGGACTACAATGACACTTCGAATTGTGTCAACAGGAATGAGATGCTCTCTTTTCTCCCCAGTTCAGCCGTCGAGCCCCCCCCCCTACTTCTATGCTGAGTGATTATTTCCGTAGCCGTCAACAGTTCACCCGTTACAATGGCACTAGCTGTTCTTTCGTTACTTCTACGTTTAGTGTCCCTCAAGGTGTCATATTATTACCTTTTTTATTTTCAACCTACGTGTCTTCTATCCCCATTCATGCCAGTAGCTACCTTATCAAATACGTTGACGATGTCATTCTTGGCTTGATACATTTCTGAAACTCTTTCCCGACCACTCATAGTGGCATCGCAGAACTTTCTGAATGGTTCGTTATACAAAATTTGGCTATCAATCCCCTCAGATCTGTAAACATTTAATTTTTCCTTATGCGAGGCGATGAGCACTCTGATTTCACTGACTCTTGCACTCCAGTATCAATTGTTGGCAAAAATGTTAACCACTAAGATTCAGTAAAGTACCTTGGAGCGATATTGGACTGAAACCTTACCTGGTCACGGCACGTAAGCCACATTTTTACAAAGATTAGACGTTTGTCTTTTTATGTATTGTGCTCTAAATTCCACTCTATACCGACACACCTCATCAAACGCTTTTTTTCATTTGTTCTATCCCACTGGGTCTGTGCCTCTCCTGTCATTTATCCAGGTCTGTTGTCCAATGACTTCAAGGTTATCTCTGGACCCCTTAAGTTCTTATTCTCTTGTAGTGGAATACCCAGAGAGTAGTTCACTAAATTCGTCATTTCCCAGCACAGCAAAACTCGCCATAAACTTGCCACAAAAGTAGTCACTGGTTTCTATTCACCCTATTCACACATACCTAACTAAATGTGCTTCCCCTTCTGGCACAGGTTCCAATTATATGCACCTTTATGCACGCACCCGAGCTTACCGTAGTTCCACCATTCCGTACCTGGCAAGGCATCCAAACAACCCAGAAACCGTAATATCGCATCCTAAAGATCGACTGAACTAGTAACTCATCGGAACCCAATACTTTTGTAATGATTGTTTTTCCTCCACTTTGAGAATGTTATTTGGTTATATGAAAGCTGAATATCCAGCCCCAAGGGTGCATATAACATCTTGTCTTGTCTTGATGAATCACCGAGATGTCAGGACAAGCCCGAAATAAGTCACCACCTCATAGACACCCGAATAACCAGACTAGAGAAACTTAAGAAATGTTCGAGCCCCAACACGCTGATTAAGTGTCAACCTCAGGACTGGGACTTATGAGACTACTCCAGCTCACATCATTGAAAATCTGCAAGAAAGGGAGGTATAATGAGATCACAAACCAGTCCACTTCAAGCAGTAACTAATGTCCTTTCACGCTCATCGGGCCGTGCGTGACTGGCCAGACTCCTGCCGCATCGCACGCATCATCTAGCCAAGTGTTTTATCGATTTGTTCTCTTGTTGCCTTTGCCTTGTAAAACCGTATCCTCAAGAAATCTCAGTACACCGTTCTGGTCCAGGGACTCCTGTTCTCTTCCTGACTGAGACAATCAGACCAGGGTTTTCCGTTATAACACTGAGTGTCCCACCTCTGAGAATTGGACCATGCGATGACCCATTGATGAAAAACATGAACAACATTCATATTTGAACAACATGAATGACAGAAATTGAATATTTTTGTAGTGCTTTAGTTAAATGATGACTTAACAGCTGACTTACACAGATAGTTGTTCTCATCCGAATTATCAAAGCAGTTGTCCACTCCGTCGCAGGTCAGAGATTCCGGTATACAGCGACTGCGATCGCTCCAGCATCGAAAAGTTCCCGTCGGACAGTTAAACGATGGTCCGATAACTGAGATAAAAAAGGGTTGTGAAGTTGCACCAGAATTCTTTAAGGCACCCCCGGACACTGGGAGTGAAATTAATGCGCCGTACTTTTTGTGAATTAATGAGATGAGATTCCTACAAAGACACTGTAGGGGAGAACCTGAGACGACAGCCCGGAGACTCGGAAAAGAAGCCGCACAAGACCCTTCCGGAGAGATTTAATAATGATTCGAGTAATAACGAAGGTAAATTATAGGTAGTTTTGATCGAAAAGTACCACAATCAGAGCGTGTGACTCGATCATATGAATCTTAGCTGAGAATCGACCATCTACTACACAATCTTAGGGACGGTTTTCTCATCTAACTTGACCTCCTTCAGTCCATGCCATATTTTTCACTCCAGATTTTAGATTTTAGATTATTCCCTCTGTTATTCATGCACGAGTAGTTTGAAACTGTCACTTATATCACTCACTGAGTTACTGATTCACATTCAACAATGTTTTTTAATGGAGTCTGCCTATCCAGATAACCAGGGTAGTTGAAATACCGGTACATATAATTGCCAGGAAACCAAGCTAACTCAGCAAACGAATTTAAACTTCTGGAGGACGCAAAAAGAGGGGTGAGCTCAAAACACTGGACGCTTGTAACCTTATACTAACCAGATGGGACCAATGGACTAAATCTACTTGATAGTTAAGAATATTGTGCGGCATGCAGTCGTGGATTTCATCCTTTCTTTGAACTGGTTTTACTGAGAAAAGGGACAATTGACATCCGACAGCCTTCAGCCTAAAGCTTATGATTGTCAGGGATGAAACTTAGAATCATATACCAATGAAATCACATGAAGTGTGAGTATAGCGTTTGCGATCGGGTCGTTCAGAAATATCCGCTTGGCTTTCAAAGTTCGTGATTGAGAAGCTTACACACGAGTACCATTGCAACATAGCCATCTGCAATAAAGGTTTCATAAAATTTCGGTCCACTAACTTTGATTCTGGAAGCAAAAATATTCAGACGAAAGGACGAGAACATTTTAAGCTACACCACGAGCATATAACACACCAACTATCCGTGGTCAAGTGAGATCTATTCCTAGTTCCAAAGGAAAGGACCTTGCAGTCCATAATTTGATCCTGTGAGAAGTGCTTGAGGCTGACCATGTTCTAAAAGTTCCGAATCTCAATGGCTGTGTTACAGTAATGTGTGATCCAAAGAAGCACTGGTATCCACTTTCTAAATGGTTTTTCGATAAACTTTCATCTTCATTTAAGGTATGCTTGTACATGATTGCAGTGGAAGGGGTATATACCCCATAGCCACAAAGACTCACTGCACTATTAGGGATATCCGACAACCAGACCCTGAGACTTGGGGTGGAGAATCACATAATGTCCCAATAAATCAGGTGTGGTAACGGCCGGACGACAGTGGATTAATGTCTACCAACGAAGTAACCAGTGATAGTGGGGACTCGAACCTTGGACCCCTGAGGTGGCAATCAAACACTCTTAATCACTCGACTCCCACCCGAGTAGTACACGTAGTCAGTGGTTTATTTATGCTTTTTTATCTACCGTATATAACCAGGATTCGGGACCTCAGACCGGAGATTTCTGAGTAGCTGAGCTAAACTGAAGTGATAGCAAAGAACAGTAAACGGCGATACTGAATCTACTAGGCGAAAATCAAAGACGAAGAGATAGAGAGCATTCAAGATGATACACAGTGATTCTTCCATTGAGAGTTATGTCTACTTTAGGTACAGAAATGACAACACAATAGATCTCAGGAACAACCGAAAAGCCGGTCCGATTTTAACCACACACTGTTCAGTGAGTGGATGCTTAAAACTGAGACTGAAAAAGAAATCATTTTCTAAGTACTGATTAGCTCAAATGGCGAGCAAAACATACTCCAAAAAGAGTGAATAAAAACGACGAAGTGAATTCATGAAACAAATGAAATAATGTAATGGATAGTATAACGTTCAATCTGTTTATGAAGTTTCCACGCGGGACTTTGGTGTCTCACTTCACAAAATTTAATCAGCGTGTTCCTTCGCCTTTCCAACCACATGTCGGTTTCCATTTTGTTCGTCTCTTTCTACGCTGAATTTACTGTTATCCAGCCTTCTTCATCTACCACTTATCTCTGTGTGCACTTTTACGCTGGGTTTGCTTTTCCACCCTAGAGACCTACGACCTTCACTTTTTATTCGCGTAACCAGTCTGCATGCTCTGTTTTGATCTCGTCATCCATGCTGTTCTGTGTATGTCCACCCCTTTGCTTCACTGCGCGCTTAGCTTTCACACGAAATCCCCTGTCAAACTTCTCATCCGTACTATGCGAGCGACCTTTGGCCTCCACTCTAATATCACACCACTTCCGGATGCATGTCTAGGTCAGGCATGCATGCGATCACCTCCGTATCTGAACTCGCTACCCGTCCATCTGCAATGATTGTCCCAGGTTCCTTCTCTGATTAGTTGATTTCTATACTATAAAATCTACTTTTCACATTCTACCGATGACACAGTTCCGTATCACTCGGTATAAGTTCCTTCGTGCCCATCTGGACGATGGATATTCACTCATGGTTCCTTGTAATTAGATTGTCCCAAAAATTGAGGTGTTATCTACATCTGTAGTGATTTTTCTCTGGATTGATTACAAGCAGAATACTGACTCGCTTTATATGAATTTTGGTTTCGGGTTCGTGTTCTACGAGTCACTCAGCCACTGGAGAGCGGTTCAGTTGCAGGTAAATTTGAAAGATAGTTACCCACTATCGTCCGGCTCGTTACCACACCTAATCTATTGGAACCATATAAGATTTTCCGTTGCAAGCCTCATGGTCTGGTTGTCGATTATCCCTCATACTGCAGTGATCTTCTGTGGCTGTGTAATATTCCCCTTCCATTGCATTCGTGCGCAAACATCTAATAAAGAGTAAGTTCCACATATACATCATACACGAACACAGACGGTGAAAGGTTAATGCTATAAACGTCAGCCGTAAGGAGCGCACGGAAGCGGACAAAATAAACAGATAACACTACTGATATACAAATTCTCTGGGTCTAGGTGTCTTCGATCTGACGTAAATCCCAAAAAATACCGGTCATCAAATAGGTCTCCGGAAATCATTGCAGAGACTTTCAGTAAACACAGAAATGGTCTGTTTAAGGAAGGCATGAGGAGATTATTAGTGAACAGTAGTAGGAGAGCAGAGCTGAAGATGAAATTAAGGGTACGGAGGCCAGTCTCGACGAAAAACGTTGCGATGAAAAGCATCAGAAGGAATCTGTTAAAAGTTTAATGCAAGCGGTTTTTGCTGTACAAAGTCTGGGAACAATCTTTTTCGCAGAAGAGTGAAACGTGAGTAATTTCTTTATATATATATATATATATATATATATATATATATATATATATATGTATATATATATATGTATATATATATATATATATATATATATATATATATATATATATATATATATATATAGACAGAGAGAGAGAGAGAGTTAACGGCACTCCTATTGCCACCTACGGCAGTAAGTCACTCATGCTGAACTTAGGCCTACGTCGCACCTTCCGCTGGATGTTCATAGTAGCAGTTGTCCCCTATCCCATACTTGGTATCGATTTCCTTGACCACTTCGACCTCCTGGTCGGTGCACGATGCCGGAGAGTTGTTGATTGACAGACTTTTCTTCCCGTAACCGGTTCGTATTCCTCCGCGAATCACATCACGTCCCCATACATCGAACCTCAGGCCAAACACCCCTACACAGAACTCCTTTCAGCTTACCCGACAATGCTAAGGCAATCTGGAACCCTTCCCGCGGTGACCACCGATGTCACCCACCATATTGTCACTAATGAACCCCCAGCATTTAGCCGCCCCGTCGCTGGGCACCAGACAAGCTCTGCGTAGCACAAGCTGGGTTTGAACACATGCTGGAATTAGGCATAATACGCCCGTTCAGTTGTCTCTGGGCTTCACCTCTTCACATGGTCCCTAAACCTAATGGCAACTGGCATTCTTGCGACGATTATAGGGCCCTCAACCAAGTTATCAACACAGACAGGTACCCCATTCCACATATTCAAAACTTAACCTCCATATCTGGTTGTTCCGTTTTCAGCTGCATCAACCTCGTTAGGCCCCACCATCAAATCCCGGTAGCTGAGGTTGACACCCCTAAAACCGCTGTCACAACTCCGTACGGACTATTCGAGTTTTTGCGCATACCCTCTGGGCTCAGCAACGCAGTCCAAACCTTTCAAAGGTTTATGCATGAAGCAATACGCGGTTTGAACAATGTCTACATGTACTTAGACAATATTTTGGTGACAAGTTCTCCAGAGAATGAGCGTATGACACACCTGCGCGCTCTTTTCGAGCGTCTTAGCCAACACGGTGTAACCACTAATCCTGCCAAACACGAATTACGTAGGTCCACCATCACATTCCTAAGTCACGAAATCTCAGCTTCGGGAATACAGCCCCTACCAGACAAGGTGGCGGCAATTCGCGACTATCCTGAGCCTTACTCTTACCGACAGTTGCGCCAATTTTCTGGCTTGGTTAACTTTTACCGCCGTTTTATTCCACACTGCGCCGAAATAATGCAGCCTCTAACAGACTTTTCACGTGGAGGTAAGCGGAAATTCATTTTTCCCGACACGGCGCAGGCAGCGTTTGCTTCGACCAAGGCAGCTATCGCCAACATAGCAATCCTTGTACATCCCGATTCTTCCGCTCCCCGGGCATTAGGGACAGATGCTTCGGACACGGCTGTTGGAGCAGTGTTGCAACAATCCGTCAGTAATTCATGGTGACCAATAGCTTTCCTCTCTTAGCGTACCTAGCCTGCGGAATCCCGATATAGTACATTCAGCAGAGAACTATTGGCAACTTATATGGGTATCCGACACGTCTGGTACACACTTATAGATCAAACGTTCACAGTGTTCACAGATTATATACCACTAGTGTACGCTCTCC